ACAAACCAAACAAAACCCAGATGTTACATGTTATTTCTTATTTCTGATGGGTCTGTTGTATTTCAAATAATTTCCATTTTTACAATTTTCTTTATTATCTAAAGTTCCTAAAATAAGCCAGGCCCTGGTAGAAGGATTGGAAAGAGGTCCTAAAGTAGGCAGATCCATTTTTCTTTCTTTCAATACACACTTAGGGGTGGGGCAGGGAGAAAGTAGAGGGAGAAAAGTGACAACAGGAGTTTACATAGCACTAGCGAGGCTCTTAAACTCTCCAGCTGGAACTTACAGTGCAAGTATGCTCAGTTTCTGCTTTGGGAGATGTTCACCAAAGGTCTTGTAGAATGACTTTGGCTCTGGAACAAATGTAGGGGAAATAGGGCTGATATTTCTCCTGCTGTTGAAGAGATAATAGAAGAGCCTGAGACAGAAGTTTGGCTCAAGGTAGGTGTTTGGAAAATGCAATTTCAAACCATGTTAATGTGGATTACCTAAAGGAAAAATCCAGAGGAAAAAAGAAGAAATCAAAAGGTAGAATCTCAGTGATTTAGACAAGGGAGAGGGAAGAGGGAAGAACATCTTAAGAAGGAAACAGTCAGTATTATCAGATACTACTAAGAGGTCAGGTGAAGGCAGGAAAGGGCTGACATAAATCCCTGGAATTTGGCAATTGAGTAGATCATGAGGGAACCCTGGCAAAAGTACTTGAGGAGAGAGACAAGGGCACTTAAACACCTCTGTTTGCAGAATATGGAGACACTGAGACAATGGGTGTAGATGGTCTCCAACCTTTTGGCACCAGGGACAGATTTCATAGAAGACAATTTCAATTTTTCCACGGCCAGGGTGGGAGGCAGAGCTCAGGCGGTGATGCAAGCGATGGGGAATGGCTGTAAATATGCTCACTGGCCCGCAGCTCACTTGCTCACCTCCTGCTGTGCACCCCCTCCATTCCTAAGTTTCAGGGAAGACAATTTTTCCACGGACAAATTGGAGGGGTGGGGGAGGGGGGAGAGGCAGAGCTCTGCAGCCAGGTCCCTAACAGGCCACGGACTGGTACCAGTAAGCAGCGCATGGCTTGGGAACCACATGTGTAGACTGCTCTCTCAAGAAGTTTGGCACTATAAAATATGTTGTAGATAAGAAGCAATCATGTTTTGAAAACAGTTAAACATGTATGAACTGAGGGTCATAATAAAATAAGCTACAGGGTTTTTGTTGTTTTGTTTTTTTTCTGGAATTGTCAGAGAATTTAGATATTACAAATAAATTAATTTTCCATGTGACTAGAACTTAACCCTGTCTGTAGCAAAACACAAAACATTTAATGCAAGTTTTCTAAAATGTTCTATATGCACTTTTATCCTCTGTTGAGGAAATTATGAATGCCTGTTATTTACTGTGCAGTAGTAATAAGTATCTGCCTTATTTGTAGTAATAACTACCTGTAGTTTAGTGTTGCATCATAACATTTAATGCCGTCCTTAGTCAGAAACTCAGCTGACATTTCTGTTTGCTTGTACCGGGGCAGAGGCTGGATATGAAGTCAGCTGCTTCTAATCTTCAGAGAATCAATTTCAGAGAGTTAATTTTTACATGTTAGTCGTGAAGCAATTTGAATCTAATGGTTGGAGAAGAGCCAACCATTAGAGGGAAGAAGAGAAACATTTACTGAGAGCTTGTCATATGCTGCCTGGTTCTGGGAGCTGTACACATTATTTAATTTATTTTATAAACTTCTTGGTGAGATGCCAAAAAGTAAAGTGCACGACAATTATAGCACTCCAGCAACAGTTTTGTGGGCTCCAAGACTTGGAACTGTATTTCATAGGGATGAGATTACTATGAGTACTGCTGTGGCTTATAAATATGTTCTCAAATGGATTTGATTTATTACGCATTTTAGATATGCAAATTAATTGCCTTCCCTGAAAGCCTTTTGTGTTTTGATTATAATATTAGTAAAATACAGAATCTATGTATCTTTGATTAGGTTAACTATACATGTAACAGTAAATTTTTTAAATTTGAGAATCAGTATAAAAGAGGTTAAAGAGTACACACTACCTAAATGTGACATCCAGTTTTCCCACCTAAAAAACTAGAATTATAATACGAGTACCTATTTGTAGATACTATGGCTGTTAAATTGAAGTGAGTTTAATAAATATTAGCTAATGCTATTTTAACTAGTGCCTAATTTCAGTTGTTTTATAGACTTTTTTCCCTGACTTTTCAGGAATTATCTCCTACTTCAGATACAAACTTAGTACAGTCCCTAATGAATCTAATAGACTGTTTCATGGATGATTTTACTGATGAAATCAAAGTAAGAGAGAGAAATGATCGAGAAACTTACTCTTTGCTAGAGGTAAGGTCCATAGCCTTCTGTATCTGGCAATAGAAAGACAGACATTACTTGTTTTCCTCAAGACTTCCTGATTAATGAAACTCAATTTGCCCCTGAAATTGGAGACTGGGCAATGGGTGGTAGCTGGAGAGAACAAAAACCCAGGCCCCAAACGCCAAGTGCTGGTGGGGAAGTTTCTCGACTGGCAGTCACGGTGCATCACGAGGTGAGGGTGGAGCCCAATGACCACCTCAGATCTGCTCCTGAAATCTCAGGACATTTGACCAGCCTCAGAAATGATCCATTCCCAAAATGTTAATGACCAGTTTGGCAACAACATTCACCTCCCCTCCAAACCATAAGAATTTATTGCTTTTTCCCCTGATTTTTCTTTCTTTTTTCATGAG